TTCGTTCTCTCTCTCTCTCTCTCTCTCTCTCTCTCTCTCTCTCTCTCTCTCTCTCTCTCTCTCTCTCTCTCTTCGTTCGGCTGGAATAACGAGGATTTCTAAGAAAGTCCATCCAGAGAGTCTGTCCTTTCTGCCCTGCCTGAGATCCTTTCTCGGGGAGGGGAAGGGGAGAGAGGTTTCTTGGGTTTATTATTTTTCCTCCTTTTTCTTTTATTCGCGATATTTTCGGCCTCTTTAGAACCTTCTCCGTTCGAGGTTTCGTCGATGATATATATATATACGATGGTGTGGCGAGGTTTTCGAAAGTTTTCTCGTTTTTTTTGTTTTTTTCTTCGTTTTCTCACGAATGAAGACGAACGGAGCAAGGGTGAAGATCGATTTCGAATCTCGAAATATTATCGAATCGAGATGTTGGAAAAGAGATTTTTTTTAAATCGAGAAGAGCGGACGTGAACGGGAGAAATTAAGAAGCGTCCGAAACACGGCCGGAGATTTCAACGAACGGTTACACTTTCCTATCCGCCGCGGCATTGCGGCGAGATCGAAACACGTGTATCGACGAAATTTTTTTTTAGCTTACAAATTTTATCAAGGGATTAAATCTCACTATTACAATTATTCTTACGCGTTTCTTCTTCTTGGCGTTTGTCCATCCTCTCGGGAAGAGGAGAAGATAATAACTAGTAATAAAAAAACTTTTATCCAAAATTTTTACTAAAATCGAAAGATTCGACGCGAATTTTTCTTACACGTCGGTAAAAAAGTAAATCTCTCGCCTTACCGACGGCGAAAACAATAATTTCAAGAACAAGGAAATTTGTGAATTGAATGGAAAAATTCTCGGTACCAACGTTCAAACAAATGTTTTCACCATAACACGTCGATCGTATTATCGACGTGACTCGATCGGCCCCCGATTTAACGAACGTTCTCCCCTCCCACCTCTCTCGACCACGCCACGAGTCGCGCGTGACGTCCATTGTTCCTCGTGGAACTCTCCTCGTGATCTCCGTGTCACGCTTCCTACTACCACGCTCGGGAGGGAGGGGTGAGGTAGGGAAAAATGTAAATTGCGCCACGGCCCCCGACAATGGGCTCGATTCTCTCGTTCGTCACCGCCGTTCGATGTCCATTAGGCCTCGGAACGGGTGTATTAAATATCGATATCGAGCGAGCCGGCGCCGACCGCGATCGATCGATGACAAATCGTGGGGGAGGGGGGGAGGTTCGAAGAATGGCTGGCCTCGGTGTTTTTTCTTTCTTTCTTCTTCTACTTTTCGTCTTGACGAGGCTCGATTGAGGAGGTATGCGTGCGATAAACGAGATCCGCAAAACTTTTATTTCTCCTTTCGATCATCGCCCGTTATCACTTATCTGTTATATATCGATATTGAATGGAAATAAAAATAATCCAACTCTTTCTTCCAAATTTTCCATCGACCACAACCCAAATAAACCCTTTGCTCGTCTCCGTCATCCATCCAGCCGATCGCGATCCGGTTGGTTTCAAAATTCCGCGGCTTCGAATTGCGCGGAAGAAGAAACGGTATTCCCAACAAGGGGCGGGGAAAACGAGAGAGAAAGATAAAGCTACCCCACCCCCGCCGGCCATTGTAATTCGTATCGCGAGTCGTGCGGGAAGATCTCTTATTTTCCCGTAGCAGTATACCTACCTATATCCTGGTGTCTACCCTCGTTTCAACCTCCCCCTACCTCCCTCGTTCCCCTTTCAACCTCGTCGTCGTCGTCGTCGTCGTCGTAGTCGTCGACGACTACGACGTCCGACTACGCTCGCTTCTCTCTATGGAGGATAGCGCCGCTCCGCTCTAGAATGTAAGGGATGATTTTGGAGATAGCTCGAGGGTCGCTCGAGGTACGTGGGAGTTGTAGGTGGTTGTGTGGGCGGTTGGTTGGACGGGTCGAGACGGGTGGAGTGGCGTGGAGAGGGGGAGAAGTGGAGTGGGGTGAGGGGAGGGAGGCTAGATCAGAGAAGCGGTGTATGAGGGAG